CTCTGCGGCTGTAACACTGTATTCTGCACTCTGTTCTGCTACCCTGATGCACTTTGTTGGGTACCATCTCCTCGTATAGTGCACAAAACAACAGTTTTCATTATATCTTGGTACATTTGATGATAAAAATCAATCAGTCGATCAATCAATCACAACTCACAACCCTGCCCAATTTTGTGTCGTCAGAAAACTTAGAAATGTTGCATTTAGTTCCCTCATCCAGGTCATTTATACACATCTTGAATAGCTGGAGCTTAAGCACTGATCTTGCAGTACCTCACTAGTCACTGTCTACCACTTGGAAAAAGACTCATTTATTCCCACTCTCTGTTTCCTGTCTGTCAACCAACTCTGGATCCATACCATACCATCCATATTCTCTCCATCCCATGTGATTTAACTTTGCCACCTAAGCTCTTATGAGGGACCGTATCAAAAGCCTTCTGAAACTCCATGGGTTCTGATATATCTATTCAATTAGCTACATCCTTAAAAATTTCAGTAGATTTTTTAAGCATGAGTTGCCTTTCCAAAACTCTTGCTGGCTTTGTCCAATCTCATTAATGCTTGGACATCTCGTGATAATGCTCAAACGTCTCATAACAAACTCTAGCATTTTCCCCACTACTGAGGTTAGACTAACTGGTCTATAATTTTCTTTTTTTTCAATCCCTCACTTTTTAAATAATAAAGTTAAATTTGCCACCCTCCAATCTCTAGGAACTGCTCCAGATTGCCAATAGAATTTTGGAAGATGCCTCCAATGCATCCGGTATTTCCAGGGCCACTTCCTTTCGAACATAAGAACTAGGAGCAGTAGTAGGCAAATCAGCCCCTCGAGCCTGCTCTGCTACTTTATGTGACCATGACTAATCTCATCTCTGCCTCAAGTCCACTTTCCTGCCCATTCTTCAGAATCCTTTAACCCATTACGCTTTAAAAATCTGTCTCCCTCCTTATTAAATTCACCCAATGTCCCAGCATCCACTGCTTTCTGGGGTAATGAATTCCACAGATTTGTGAACCTTTGAGGGAAATAATTTCACCTCACCTCTCTTAAATCTCCTACACCATTAGTACACTGGGATGTAGATTATCAGGCTTTTGTTATTTGATTTGCCTGTCTTAACCAGATTATTTTCCCCAGCATTATTTTCTTACCAAAACTGATTTTCTTCAATTCTCCCCTCTCACTACGCCCTTGGTTCCCTAATATTTCTGGGAGGTTACTTGTGTGCTCATTTGTAAAGACAGAACCAAAGTATGTGTTCAATTTTTCTGCCATTTATTTGAATGCCCATTAGAATTTCCCCAGCTTCTGATTGTAAAGGACTTACATTTGTCTTTACTAATCTTCACATGCTTATAGAAACTTTTATGGTCAGTTCCTATTTTCCCTGTAATTTTACTTACATAATTCATTTCCTCTCATGATCAAACATTTTTTTTTTGTTGAATTTTAAAATATTCTCAATTAGCAGGCTTTTATATTGATCATAACTCTGTTACTTTTACAATAGTCATGGAAAAGGATAGGTACATGCAGCAGGGATAGTAGGAACTGCCGATGTTGGAGAATCTGAGATAACAAGGTGTAGAGCTGGATGAACACAGCAGGCCAAGCAGCATCAGAGGAGCAGGAAAGCTGACGTTTCAGGTCGAGACCCTTCTTCAGATTTCTGCTTGGCTACTTGGCCTGCTGTGTTCATCCAGCTCTACACCGACATACAGCAGGTAAGGTTTATAATTGGGGGAAGGGTAATTACAATTCTGTTAGGCAAGAACTGGGTAACATAAAATGGGAACAGATGCTCTCAGGGAAGAGCACTATTGAAATGTGGAGATTGTTTAAGGAATACATACTGCGTGTGATCGATATGTTTGTCCCTAGCAGGCAGGGAAGATGCGGTCGAGTGAGGGAGCCTTGGTTCTCAAGAGAGGTCGAACGACTGGTTAAGAGGAAGAAGGATGCTTATGTAAGGTTTAGGAAACAAGGAACAGAAAAGGCTCTAGAGGGATACAAGTTATGCAGGAAGGAGCTGAAGAAAGAGCTTAGAAGAGCTATAAGGGGGCATGAGAAAACCTTGGCAGATAAGATCGAGGAAAACCCCAAGGCTTTTTACACGTACATGAGGAATAAGAGAATGACCAAAGAAAGGGTAGGGCCGATCAAGGATTGTAAAGGGAATTTGTGCACGGAGCCTAAAGAGATAGGAGAGGTCCTTAATGAATACTTTTCGTCGGTATTCACAACTGAGAGGGATCTAGTTGTAGAGGAGGACAGTGTGAAACAGACTGGTAGGCTAGAGGAGGTCGATGTGAGTAAGGAGAATGTGCTAGGAATTTTGAGGAAGTTGAAGATAGATAAGTCCCCTGGGCCTGATGGGATTTATCCAAGGATTCTATGGGAAGTGAGGGAAGAGATCGCAGGGCTGTGAAGTGCTGGAAGATTGGAGAGAGGCAAACGTCATTCCCTTGTTCAAAAAAGGGAATAGGGATAACCCCGGAAATAACAGGCCAGTTAGTCTTACATCAGTGGTGGGCAAATTATTGGAAAGGGCTCTAAGAGATAGGATTTATGATCACTTGGAAAGGCACAGTTTGATTCGTGATAGTCAGCATGGATTTGTGAGGGGTAGATCATGCCTCACAGACCTTATTGAATTCTTTGAAGAGGTGACCAAACATGTGGATGAAGGTGGAGCAGTGGATGTGGTATACATGGATTTAAGTAAGGCATTTGATAAGGTTCGCCATGGTAGGCTCATGCAGAAGGTAAGGAGGCATGGGATAGGGGGAAATGTGGCAGATTGGATTCAGAATTGGCTGACCCTTAGAAGACAAAAGGTGGTAGTGGACGGAAAATATTCAACATGGTGCTCAGTTACGAGTGGTGTACCACAAGGATCTGTCCTGGGTCCTCTTCTATTTGTGATCTTTGTAAATGATTTGGATGAAGGAGTGGAAGGGTGGATTAACAAGTTCGTGGACGATACGAAGGTGGGTTGAGTTGTGGACAGTGTGGAGGGCTTTTCTCGGTTACAAAGGGACATTGATAGGATGCAGAGCTGGACTGAGAAGTGGCAGATGGAGTTTAACCCTGAAAAGTGTGAGGTGATTCATTTTGGAAGGACAAACTTGAAAGCAGAATACAGAGTTAACGGGAAGATTCTTGGCAGTGTGGAGGAGCAGAGGGATCTTGGGGTTCATGTCCACAGTTCCCTGAAAGCTGCCACCCAGGTGGATAGAGTTGTTAAGAAGGCGTATGGTGTGTTAGCTTTCATTAATAGAGGGATCGAGTTCAAGAGCCGTGAAGTTATGCTCCAGCTATACAAAAGCCTGGTTCGGCCACATCTGGAGTATTGTGTCCAGGTCTGGTCGCCTCATTACAGGAAAGATATGGAGGCGTTGGTAAAGGTGCAGAGGAGATTTACCAGGATGTTGCGTGGAATGGAGGGAAGGTCTTACGAGGAAAGGTTGAGAAAGCTAGGGCTTTTCTCTTTAGAATGACGAAGGATGAGAGGTGACTTGATAGAGGTGTACAAAATAATCAGAGGTATAGATAGAGTGGACAGCCAGAGACTTTTTCCTCAGGTGGAGGTAGCTATTACGAGGGGACATAGTCTTAAAGTGAGTGGAGGTAGATACAGGGGAGACGTCAGAGGTAGGTTCTATACTCAGAGAGTGGTAGGGGCGTGGAATGCATTGCTGGAGAGGGTAGTGGAGTCGGCCTCATTAGGGGCACTTAAGTGGCTATTAGATAGGCATATGGATGATAGTATAAGGTAGGGGTGGAGGTTAGATAGACCTTAGGTTTAGGGTAAAAGTTTGCCACAACATCGTGGGCCGAAGGGCCTGCACTATGCTGTACTGTTCTATGTTCTATGTTCTCTGTTCTTTGTTCTATATCATTTTACTGCAGACTCTTTTTATTCTGAACATGGATTTAGAGGAGTTTGTTGTAATTGTAGTTCTGCTAGTCATAATGAGAAGGCTTTTGCTGTCTCAATGGATCTCTCCTTTGTCGGTGCGCTGAGAAATGAAAAAGCAAAACATTGGATTTGAAGAAAAGTGTGATTGGAGCAAATAAAATAAAGAGAAAAATAAATTAGTCAGTGATGTAAATTCTGTGATTAATCTATTGCTGTCTTTTCCCCAACTGGCAGGTGTAGGTATGAATGATCTGATCAGATTCAACCTCTTGACTTCTCAAAACTGAGAAGAAAATCACATTTAATTCAGTATTTTTTTGTTTTATGTAATGCCTTAGGATCTAAAGTAGGTTTATTCGAAGAAAGAAAATGGACAGATTGTCCATTGCCCAAGGTATACAGTATCATTTTGATAATGACTTTGCTAAACTTAGCATATATCGGGAGCTTCAGGAGATTCTTTCTGTGCTGGATTAACTGATTACTGAACACACCACAGAGTCCTGGAGTTTTGCTTTGCCACGTTGTGACTTTAGCCTTACTTTCCTTTGAGTTGATATCAACAATTCATTGATATGTCCTTGTCTGGTAGTTGTAGCTCTCATTAAATTCACTGCTTTTTTCAGTTTATTCTTCTGAATAAAATTTGATTGTGCACCATGTTCTATGTTGGCTGGCAAATATTATGCATTGCTTTGCTGATGAAACTTCCAGTGTAATCCTGCTGATTTTTATTTTGGGTTTAGGATGAATGTGGTGCTTCTTCGCCATGTTTATTGTTCACCCAAGTTGCCCTGAGAAGCTGTTGATAGGCCTTTTCTCGAACTGACGTTATGATCGTGTTCTCACAATGGTATCAGTTAATATTCTAGGACATTCAATGCAGGATCATATAATAGTGGAGAACGGAGTAAGTCATTCAGCCTATTGTTCCTGAGCTGGATCATTTATGGAGCTAGCCAATGAATCACATTTGCCTGCTTTTTCACTATAGCTCTTAAAAATGTTGCCTTTCAAATATTTATCCAATTCTCCACAGACTGCAGCTATTGAATTGGCTTCCATCATTCAATCAGACAGTGCACTCCAGGTCACAACAACTCGCTGGCAAAAGAACAGAAGCGACAAGAGGAAATTGTTTTCAATCACCTTTAATCTCTGTCCTTTGGTTACTGTCTGTCACTGGGAATGGGTTTATCCTTGCTTGTTCTATTAAAAAAATTCAAGATTTTGAACATATCTTAGAAATCTTCATCAGCCTTCCACCTAAACGAATCCCTTAGCTTGTACCATTTTAATGAATCTCCTCTGCACGCTCTCAAAGGCCTTGACATACTTCCGAACTGAAAAGTCCAGAATTGAAGAGCACAATCTGACTAAAGGCTGACCAGTGTGTTATACAAATTTACCATCTGCTTTTGGGCTCTGACTGTAACAACAATCGTCTTTAACTTAATCTAGTGTCTTGAAGCACTTCACAGGAGTATTATCAATCAAAATTTGACACTGAGTCATGCAAAGATATATTTAAGCATAAATCTAAAATCTTGGTCAAAGAGGTTGATTCTAAGGAGGGAAGATGGATCAATAACATGAGGTTAAGGGACATAATTCCAGAGCTTAAGATCTTAGCAACAGAAGATATAGCCACCAATGGCATGTCAATTGTCTTTGCCTCGGAGGCTGAAACGAGAGGAACTAGAGGACATTACAGAGATAAGGAGGTAAAAATCCTGGGGGGATTTGAAAACATGGATGCGAGTTTAAAATTTTTAAAAATGCCTAACAGGGAACCAGTGTAGGTCAGCAAGCATTGGGATCCTGTGAGAAACGCAGTTTTGAGGAAGTACGAGGGGCAGCAGTGTTACAAAGGAAAGAATGTAAAGGGCAATTTGTGTGCATTTAGATAGTCAAATCTCATCATAACAAACATGAATGACGAGAAATGTAGCCAGGCAGGTACAATGGCTAAAACAGCAGGTCAGAAGCTGGGAATGCTATATTAATTACACTTCTCCTGACTCATCAAAGCTTGTTCATCATTTATGAGGCAAACCTTAGGTAATGGAATGCTCCACCTTGGGAACAACACTCAAAAAGATTGACACCAGTGAGGAGAAAGCAGCCTTTTTGGTTGACACCCCTTCCACCATCCTAAACGTACATGGATAAATATACAAGACCACTGTAGCAATTCATCAATGCTCTAGCAAAAGCACCTGTAACCTTTACTCCAAGAAGGACAAGGGCAGCAAATCCTGGAACTCTCTCCCTAGCAGCACTGTGGGTCTACTTCCAGCAAATGGACTGCAGCAGTTCAAGTCAGCAGCTCACCATCAGCTTCTCAAGGAAATTCATCAGTGGACAATAAATGCTAGACTTGTTAATAAAACATCCCATGAAATAAATTATTTTTTAAAAAATGACAGTATGAGTCCTAATGCCAAGCACCAGTATGGAGCTGAGCGAAGATGGAGTTGTCCTCAGTTTTCCCAATGGGAACTGTCTACAGTTTCCACTGTCTCCATCAGCCTCTTCTGTTCACAAGTGATGTGCTCCTCGCCATCCTCCCCCACTCCTTACCCATTTATTTGCAAATGAGACTCCACCAATGTGAGTGTATCAGCACTGGTAGAGCATGCATTTGACTTGTGATGCTGCATCCTCAGATAGCTGGTCCTCCTCTGAGCTCTTTGTGACCATTTCATGTCGTACCTCCATCAGTGTCCCTGTAGTAGAGATAAGACTGTAGTTAGTAAATCTCACATGTCTCAATGGTTGCATCTCAGACTTCACACTCCATCTCTTCACACTTGTCTGCATTCAAGTTTTGTGTTCTGATGAAGAGTCACCGGACTCGAAATGTTAAGTCTGCTTTCTTCCCATAGATGTTGCCAAACCTGCCAACTTTCTCCAGCAATTTCTATTTTTGTTTCAATTTTAACATTGTCTGTCGAAGTCCTCACCTGATGAGGTGATGATATGGAAGTAAAACTGGCAGTAGGGTGATGGCAAAGCAGTTTTAGTGTACAACTGATTGTCTTTTCCATTGAAGTTAAGTTCACTCCCTTATGCATTTGGGTTAAGATACTGTATGACCTGGAGATGATGCTCCGGTCATATTTTTTTGCTGTTATCCTCTTTTGTGTGGAGGTTATTGGGTTGGGAGGACACAGAATAGGCCACACTTTAACATCTCATTTGAACATAGAACATAGAATATTACAGCGCAGTACAGGCCCTTCGGCCCTCGATGTTGCGCCGACCTGTGAAACCAATCTGAAGCCCATCTAACCTAAACTATTCCATTATCATCCATATGTTTATCCAATGACCATTTAAATGCCCTTAAAGTGGGCGAGTCTACTATTTTTGCAGGCAGGGCATTCCACGCCCTTACTACTCTCTGAGTAAAGAACCTACCTCTGA